TCCCCCCCTGTACATACCACTTCATCTTGGACGGCAGAGAGTTAACCCAAAGACGAGCTGATCATTGCCTGTAGGATGAGAATTCGGTTACTCAGACAGTCATACAATAACCTACACTTCCCTGATTGCATATTATTGTCTAAAAGATGCTTCCAGCTCCAGCCCACAGGCATCCAGAGCCCTCCCTGTATTTTCCGCCCGGAACAGTGGCAAGTGCAGGGGACTAGAAAACTGTCTCCTGACACCTGTAATGGGGCTTTTGTGTCTGTGCATTAGCTGCTTTGTGTGCACTTGCTGTATGTTGGGTTTGCCATGTAGGGCTGCATAAACTGTACACATTCAAATGGTTTTGGAGATAAGGTCCAAAGATGTCAGATGTGCCAAATCTGTTTGGGTTTCCAGTGCTCAACAACAAGGGTGGGCAACTGCCCCTGGGCCCATGTGATCAAGGGGCCCAACAAAACTGTTCCTTCAGCTTTTCTAGCCTTTCCAGCTTCTCTACTCAACAAAGCAGTGTCCTCTTACCTTGAGATCTCTTCCCCACTTCTCTTATCGTGCACTTCATTTGGTACTAATTGGTTGAATTTGGTAAATGTGAACCCCATCAATGCAACTCATAAGAGCTTCAATATCTGTAAACCCCATTAATACAACTCATAGAAGCTGCAAACCTTTCCACTATAATAATCCTTGGTGATCCTGCCATGAAAGTCCTCCTGTATTCATTTGCTGTCATAGGGTGACATCGCTTTGTCCATGGCTCCAAACTGTGCTTCTGCGTTGTCACCCTGTCACCTGGGCTTCAGATGGAGACGACAAGTGGTCGTTCCATTACACAGGCATGGCCTACTGTTGTCACCATGAGGAAACCGGTCTTGTGAAATGCTATGCAGCCATTGCTGAAGTGCGTGTAGACTGAAAGAGTCTGCAGGAGATCAGCAGCACTGAGATGCAACAAAGGATGAAAAGCAAATATTTTATATAAAAAATAATTGTTTATGATGCACAGTGCTTTTGCAAACATAATGTCATTCAGTTGGGGTTTACATCAGGGGCGTCCCGTGGACCGCGTGTCACCCCATCTCCAGACCGGATGACACCCCGCCGTGTCGTCATTGCACGTGACGTCACCTCGCGCATGCGCGGCCATCTGATTGACGCCTGTCGGCAGAGAGAAGAGGGGACGTTCACCCATCAGGATGAGGTATGCAGCTGGGTCCCCTCCTCTCTCATGACACTGTCAGGCTCCCGGTCCGTGACCGAGCGCCCGACTTTTCATAGGGGGGTGACACCAAAATGACTGTCAGTCATTTTGGTGTCACCCGGGTGTGGGCCGCACCCCCCTTGTGACGCCACTGGTTTACATATAGTATTAGGCTTCAGCCTAATCTCAATAGCAGGGCCAATGGCCTGTGTTTTGCTCTGATGCTATTCAGGACCACACAAATGTGAACAGCTCACATAGATGCCATCCCAACTAAAAGAACACAGTTCACCAAACAGTAAATCGGCTACACTGTGCGTTCACTGAGTGGTGGCCCTGCTGCAAGGTGACCACACAGCAAGGACAGGGGAAAAAGCAACCTGTACCATGGCCAAATCTAAAGACAAAGTCTGGACATTCATACAAAGGTCAGTTTGATTTATACAGCCAGCAAACCCAACCGCAAGGCCATTAGCACTTCGTACATGTAAATGAGTCCTCCACACAATGCTAACATCCCATATTATAGTTCTAATAGCTCATTATTATCGTTCCATGTATATATTATTGGCCAACCGACGTTTGACGAACTACGATTCCCAGCATGCCTTTAAAGTTCTAAGGAAGATGGGAATGATGGGCTGGCTTAGTTATATGTTTATGTCCAAGGTGGAGTTTCTTATCTACAGCACAGGCTCTCTTAAAGCTTTTATCATAATGGTAGTTTAATAGCCGACTGAGCAATCTCCCATCTTCCCAGCGGAGGTGGTGATAATTGGCATAGCTGTGTCTACAGTCCTGGCTATATCCTCTATCTGTTGTATATTTACATAAATATATATATATATGCAGAAGAACTGGTGTCCTTAGCACACATTTAAGCAAAGAATATTGTGCAAAGTGGAACAACCCATAGCATTCAATGACCAACATCAGTTAACATTGGCTAGATATGGCACACCACCATTGGCCAACCCATTGACGTTAGGAGGCAAGACCTGATCACCTGGTCCTGTGGGACAATCATATCATAAACATGCACAATGGTACCGGCTCAGCATGCCTGTTGATACACCACGGCGGCCCTATCGGCTGAGGTCCATGGTCACCGACGGATATAATTGCTTCCTCATTGGACTAGAACCATACGGATTGGTGATGGTCACCTCGCATCTTACTTTTGCGAGCTGCATTCTAAAACAAAAAGGCAGCTAAAAAAAACCTTTTCATTGCCCAGACTGCTCCAAAGTAAGACCTGCGATGGATTGGCTACAGGTCGTCGCTCGTCATTATCTCCCTTCGCATGGTCCGATCGAACAAAGGTTCGTGCAAAACACAGTCATCGCAACCAATCCTTCTGTATGAACTAAACTGGTGACAGGTGAAATTTAATCAGTTGCTATTAGTTCATGCACCTTGCACAGCGCCGCTGCTCATCTCCTCCGACCCGCGAAGCACGAACGCTGGCGGTGGTCCGATGAAGGAAAAATGTCAAAAAAGGGTAACACAGAAATTAATTTTTCATCGCCTCCAGTCAGAGGAACCGAGTTGCTGCAGCTTATTGCACTTTGCGCGTCCTTCTTGCCCTTTGCGCCGCTTTTGGCGAATAAGCCCCAACATAAAAACTAGCAAGTTGTGCACAGGAGTGAGGAGCCGACACACCCACACAGGATGCACTGGCTGCGTGACAGACAACACAACACACATGCATTTGCACACACATGCACATACACACACACATGATGCAGCTACACCCAGCTGTTGCACTGCTGCACAACAGGTGGATGCATTCTGCTACACATACACACAATACTCCGACACACACACACACGACATGCAAAGAAAACGAATGTCACAGCTGCAGACAGGCAAAGACTCAATGCCACAGTGGCTCATGCACTGCTCTGACCTCAGTTTTGGGGTGCAGGCTGGCTTTGGGGGTGTGCAGATGAGGGTGACGCTTCTCTGGAGTGTGTCTAGCTGGATCAGTGAGCGCTCCCTCCTTCTCCCACTTTCACTCTCTTCCTCCCCCCCCCCCCCCCCCCTCTCTCCCTTCCCTCCATTCTTATTATCTCTCTCCCTCCCTCGCAGACTGTCTCCACCTTTCTCTTCTGCTCTTTACCCTTCCTTGTCCACTGTTGCATGCAACATGCAACACTCTGCAGTGTCTTGGGAGCAGAGGGGGGTATGTGGCCGCCGTTGGGCTCAGCCTCTCCAGAACAAGAGGGAGTGAGTTAGATGTGCACAGTGGGTTTCATTGAGTAATTGTCTTGCTCAGAATTAGATGGTAATGGGGGCAGTGAGCAGCGCTGATAATGGGAAAAGCGGGGTTAACTGTGGCTGCGATGGTCTGCAGAGTCGTGGTTTGCGTTAATGGAACAAGTTATTACAGGCTCGGACAAGATGGGGACAGGCTGTACAGAACACAAGAAGGACGCCCATGTCTCTCAATTCCAGCCACAACTTCCTGTCACCTCACCTCCTTCTGTAGCATTGTATGTGTCAATGGCTCTCTCCCTACACATTGCACTTTACAAGTATATTTCTGTGCAGCTCCTACATCTCTCTCTCCCTCGCTGTCTCCTTGTAAGATGCTAGAGGTTACCATGGAGATGGAGGAGAGAGAGCATCCCTGGTACCAGCTGTCTCCTTTCCTCCAGATGTCCACCTCTCTCTTTCTCTGCAGATATGTCCTGTGCAATCTCTCTGTGCACACAAGCTGTCTGCCGTGTCTCTTGTTGTGCAGGTCTGTCTGTCCTCTCCCGCTCTCTTCCATCCTGTCTTCCCCCTTCTTGCTGTCCGTTCTTAAAGCTGCCTGCTCTCATTTTGCAGATCTGTCTGGTGCTCTTCCTCCTCTCTCTTTTACTCTCTTACCTCTTCTGTCTCCCTCATTTCCTCTTCTTGTCCTCTCTGCTTTCCTTTTTTTATCACTCTCCTCTCCTTCCCTCTCTCTCTCTGTCTCTCCCTCCTTCTTTCTCTGTTATTCTCCCGCTGTGCCCTTCCCTATTTCCATATTTCATTCTCTCACATTCTCTTCCATACTCTCTCACATTCTTACTCTCTCAAATTCTCTCCCCTATTCTCTGTTTCTCCTCCTGCTCCTCTCACCCCCTCTAGCTCTGTTTTCTCTCCTTTTCTCCACCTTGGCCCCCCTCCCTTTCTCATTTACTCTCCATACCTCTGTCTCACCCCCTCACAAACTATCTGTTGTGTCTTTAGGTTTGCAGATTTGTCTGTACTCTCTACACCCCTTCTCTGTAGTCTCTACACCCCCTCTCTGTACTCTCTACACCCCTTCTCTGTACTCTCTACACCCCTTCTCTGTACTCTCTACCCCCCCCCACCCCTCTGTACAATATACACCCCTTCTCTGTACTCTCTCTCTGTACACCTTAGTCCATCTCTCTTTGCTCTCTTCTTCTGCCCCCCTCCGGTTCTCCTAAACCCTCTGACTACACATTGCCTCCCATCTCTCCCTCCCTTTCTTAACTATCCCTCTCTGCTCTACCTTTATAAATCCCCTCACTCTCACCATCCCACTTGTCCTCTCGCTGTACCCCCCCTTCTTCTCCACTCTATGTAATGTACTAATTTCTGTCCCTCCTGCTGATTTCTCTCCTCCTCCCTTCTCCTCTCTTCTTTCCTCCCTTTTTTCTCTCCCGTCCACTCTCTTCTTCTCTCTTTCTCACTCTTCCCTGTTAATCTCTCTCTTTCCCTATCCTCTCTCTCTTCTCTCCTCTCCCTCCTTCCATCTTCTCTCTCTCCTCTTTCTCTTTCCTTCTTCTCTCTCCCTCTTTTATCTCCCCTTGGTCTCTCTTTCCCTCTCTTCTCTCCTCTCTCTCTCAAATCTCTGCTTCTTTCTCTCTTTCCCTCTCCTTTTCTCTGTCTTTCCCTTACTCCTCTCCTCCCTGTCTCTTATCTCCTTCTATCTTTCACTCTTCTCTCTTTCTGTCTTTCTGTCTACTCCGCCTTTTTTAAACGTTCTCTCTCACTTTTTTTTAATCTCTCTCTTTCTTCTCTCCTCCATCTCTTTTCTCCTCTCTAATATCTTTCACTTTCTATTTTCTCTCTCTTCTCTCCTTCTCGCTTTCTTTCCCTCTCTCCCCTTTTTTTTATTTCTCTCACCTGTTTTATCTCTCTTTCTCAATCTTCTCTCCTTTTCTCTGTCTTTAACTTTCTTCTCTACTATCTCTTTCTTCTCTCCTCTCTTTCACTTTCTTCTCTCCTCTTTTTCTCTCTCTTGTCTCCTTCTCTCTGTCTTTCTCTCTCTCCCCACTCGTTATCTCTCTCCCCTTTTTATTTCTCTCACCGGTTTTATCTCTCTTTCTCAATCTTCTCTCCTTTTCTCTGTCTAACTTTCTTCTCGACTATCTCTTTCTTCTCTCCTCCTCTCTTTCTCTCTCTTCTCTGCTTCTCTCTGTCTTTCTCTCTATCCCCCTCTTTATCTCTCTCCCCTTTTTATCTCTCTTTCTCTTCCTTCTCTCCTCCATCTATTTGTTCCTCTCTGTATTTCACTTGCTTCTCTCCTATATCTCTCCTCTATATCTTTTACTTTCTTCTCTCCTTCTCTCTTTCTTTCCCTCTCTTTATCTCTATCTCTCTCCCCTTTTTATTTCTCACCTTGTTTTCTCGGTCATTCTCTCGCTTCTCTCTATCTTTCATGTTCTTCTCTCCTTTCTCTCTCCCTACTCTCCTTCTTTCTTTCACTCTCTCCATTCCTCTATATTTCCTTTTCTCTCTCCTTTTTGTATCTTTTTCTCTCCTCCATTTCTTCTCTCTCTTCGTTTCTCTCTCTTCCTCCTCCCAATCTCTCTCTTCTCTTCATCTCTCTCACTCCCCCTCCCCCTCCCTCTCTTCTCTCTTTCTTGCCTTCTCTTTCTCTCTCCCTATCTCTTCTCTCTCAAAGTCAAATTAACTTTATTGGCAGGGCAAAATACATGTTAGCCTTGCCAAAGCAATTAGAGAGTTCTTATGGGTTGGACTGGGTGGTGGTGCAAGGAATGACCTCCAGGACATTGTAAGGCTTAAAGGATAATATAAAGGGAATAGGAGTTGAGTCCAGCAATATTATCAGGTTAAGGGATAATATAATGGGGATGGGTCCAGGTATGGGATTTTTCAGTCCACAATTCCTCATGTTCCTCTCAGTCTGAGATATGCTGAAACATCTTGTGCATCTATTTTCACTATTGGCTCCTCTAATCCCCATAGAATGTGGAGTTTCCTCTTCTTTTCTATAGAGGCGAAGTCCAGGATAAGAGCAAAGAGTCTCTGGAATTGAGTGTCCCTCACAGCTGAGTACTTGGGGCATCTTAGCAGGAAGTGGGCCTCATTCTCCTGGTCACACCACTGGCATGGTGTACTTTCGTTGGGCTCGTGGGGTCTGCATGTGCCGCCTTGATTTGATCTCCAGGCTGTGGGCGCTCAATCTGCACAGGCTCAGGTTCTGTCTGATTTGTTGTAGCATCTCTAGGTATGGGGCCAGTATTTGAGGTTTTGTCACAGCACATTGTTGGTAGCTTTGGATGGACAATCTACTGATGAATTGTTGCATGGCACATGGCTTGGCCTGGTCCTTATTTGTCAGTATGCTTCATGTTGGTGTGAGTTGGGACTACTGTTTTATGGGTGGTCCCAGTGTGCCTTCTTCTATACTGCAAACAGTAAATTTTCCCAGCTGAAACTGGCAAGCATTGTTGGAGTTGCTCCAATGGGCTTGGAGGAGGCCCTTGCAGAATTCTAGATTACATATTTCTATTGGGCTGGAGTCCCATTTGGGTAGGTTTGGGTAGGTGACGGCCCCATACTTCACTGCAATAAAGAAAGATTGGTATGATGACACTGTCAAAGATTTTAAGGCAGACTCTTACTGGTGGTTTTAGGTGGTACAGCTGTCTACTGGTGGCATAAAAGGTTCTGAATAGTTTATAGCAGGCTTGAAACCTCCTAACTGGTTAGTTTCTAGGCCGAGGTATGTGTAGTTGTTAGATTTATCAAGGGTGCTGTGACAGATTGCACGGCACCCCGACTGGGTGCCTTTGTCACTATGTAGCTTCCTCTCTGCTGGAACCAGAATTCCAGTGTTCTCAGCCCAAACCTGCCTAATTATTAGACGGAACTAATATATTAGGACAGCAAACTAAACTCCCAAAATAATAAAGATTTACCTCAAACAACACATATATATGATCGGATTGTCTCCTGAGTGTCTATCATATGTTCATTCACTCAGCTACATCTAGTGTCAAGTTAATCCCATTGTTAACCCAATCACACAAATGGACAAATAGACTTGACTAACAGACCAACAAATTAAATAGGAGTCTAAGGCCAGAGTTAACCCCTTTGGTATTGCTGGATTCACACCCTGTACCCATAATGGGCACAGGGTGACTTAAAGATCTTGCCAGGGAAAAGACGCTCCCTGCATAAATCCACTCCACACATAAATCTGGGTTAATAGTTCCAAGGGTTACACGTACATAGCAATCCTCGTGGTTCCAGGAACAGTCCCTCAAGTCTTAGTTCCATGTAATGGGGGGTCTCCATAGTCCTAGGTCCATAGTCAGTAGAAAGGAGGCTTGCCCCCAGGCTCCTCCAACAGCCCCAGTGACGGTTCAGTCCGTCACAGGTGCACTTGTTTAATGTATAGGAAGAGCTGGGTAGTGCTCATGTCTCACGGTTCAAAACTTCTTGTAGGCCTCTGGCTGTTGGTGACAACAATAGGAGGCCATCTGTGTACAGTAGGAATTTCAGCTTGGTGTCATGTAGAGCTAGTCCTGGTGCGGAGGAGGTTTCTAGAGCTGTAGCCCCCCATCTCTTTCCTCTATCTCTCTCTACCCCATCTCTTCTCTCGCTGTCTCTTTCTGCACCCTCTTTCGATCCCCATGTATTCTTTTCCTCTCTCTCTCTCTTTCCATCTCTTCTCTTTCTTCCTCTCTCTCTCTCCTTCCCTTTCTATTCTCTCTCTCTTCCTTTCTCTTCTCTCTCCCCCAGCTTTTTCCTCCTGCTCTGATCTCTGTGGACTGCAGTCTGTCATGTTGCTGTAGCTGAGTGTGTCAGTTGTACAAATCACACTAGGAGTCTTCTGTCTACTTGGATTATGTTTATTTCTGGATGAGAGAGGCGGCGTGTTTTCTGCAAGGTGGCCTTCCTGTGCTCGCTAACCTTCAGTCAATTTAATTTAAAGTGCCACTCCACTCCTTAGGTAATGAGGAACTTTACCCACCTGTCTCCCAAAATAGTTAACTTTAAGGCATGTCAACTTTCAAGGTTGCGTCCCTCAACCGAACTTTGAAGCCCTCAAATGGCTGGTTTGATAGCTGATCACAAGTGCAGCACCATGGCAACTGTAATCCAAATAGAGGATAAGATGGCACCTTCCTTGGCTGGAATGGATAGGAGGTTGTAGTTACTCTTTAAGGGGTGGTGGTGGGTGAATCATGTACTTATGTCTCTCAGAACCTGAGGGTCCATGTCACCCGTAAGTCTTGTGTTTAGTTTAAGCCACTAGCACATGTCCATGGTCAAAACATCCATTCGGCTAGGATTAATCAGGCAGTAACCATAGCAACCAACCATTTCACCATTTATCAGATCGAAGAAAAAGGATTAATGCAAGTTTATGGATGTCGGACCAAAACAAGTGGCCTCTGGCTGATTAATAAGCACAATCAGCCTTATTCCAAGCAAATATCTTATCGTTAAATGCATTAGCCCA